TGGGGGAAAAGGTCTTAGAAGTGAGGGGAAAAAGCAGGACATGGGTATATCACTGCCCCCCACAAATCATATATCCCCCCCATCCTATTTTTTGCTGTTGGAAATATGGTAACCCTATAATAAATTAGTTTTTGATATTGGGTGCCACTCAATTCACAAAAGTAATGGAAGGGTGCCTCAAATCTAACGAGCAGGGATCTGGGTTTTCTGTTTCCCATGGAACAACAGAGAAAAATGTGTAACCCAGGTGTACTTGGGTATATACTCCACTTCCCCAACTGAAGGAAATTGTTAGCTGGCAGGTGTGCTGTGGGGGAACTGTAGACTGCTCAATTTCCCTCTGTCCCTATACAGCCAAGCCAGAACAGTCAGGGGACTTAACTATATACAAATTTATTTACATTAATTTATCACAAGGAAAAGAAACATGGATATAAACATATGTACTAATATATAATATATATTAGGTGGGGGGTGGCCTTCCCGCTACAGGCTCAGGCTCCCTACCTGGCTGCCTTCTCCTGGGGCTTCTGCGGCATAGCAGGTGGGACCTGGCGCAGCAGAGTAGAGCTGAGTCATGAGGGGAAGCTCCTTGCTGCTATAAGCTCCTCACTGCCCTGGCAAGGCATCCCCTGCTCGTTCAGCAGCAGCGGGAGTAGTGGTGTGGGGTTGTGCTCCTCGCTGCTGCAGAGCGGACAAGGGGTGCATCAACAGGGCAGCGTGGAGCTTGCAGCAGTGGGAACAAGCTTCCCCGCCCATCCCCACTCTGCCCTGCTGGGTCCTGCCTGCTGCGCCATGGAGGCCCTGAGAAGGAGGGCAGCAGGGCAGGGAGCCTGAGCCCACAGCGGCCAGGCTGCACCCCTTCCCCCCACAGGATCTACTCTAACCATGCCACCCATGAGAGAAGGGGAACTGGGCTCTGTTCTCTGCTTCACTGGAGCAGCTGCTGCCTCCTGTGGGCAGTAGCCAGGGCTCAGGTGCTGCTGTGGGGGGCAGGGGTCTGCAGACCTGGGTTCCTAGTCCTGTAGCCCTGGCAGGTATGGTCCCCTCAGGCAGGGCTGGAGGGTAAGGGGGTTGTGGGTGGGGGAGTGAGGGGCATCAGCAGGGCTGTGGCTTGGGAGTGAGGGGCCTGGACCTGCATTGTGTGATCTGAGGGGGCAGGGGGAGCTCTGATTTTCCATGATTAAAACCCAAAATCAAATACCAAAATGTATAAGTATTTAAGATTTAATACATTATGTTGATTGAGGCACTGGCAGGTTTCCAAATTGCTTTAAAACTCCAAATATATCAATAAAACATTGTGTTCAACTGATACCTATACCTATAGTGACCTTTCATCTTAATCATGGATTTGGGTTTTTAATCAGGGAATTTGCAATTTTTTATCAAAGAATTTGCAATTCTTTTTTGTTACAGAAAACCAGGATCCCTGCTAATGAGGGGTGCCTTGAGTCCAGTAAGGTTGAAAACCACTGGGGTAGAACAATAGCAAAGCAAATCAAGTGTCCACATTCAGCTAATGGTGTTTTTAGCACAGTTTGCTCAAGGCATGTTCTGAACCTTGAACAGTTAACATGGGGTAATAATAAGGAGCCTTGTATCCAGTGATGCTTTTGCTATAACGCCCATAGCCTGGAGGTAAAGTATTGTATTTACGGAAAGCTAAAATCAAAA